CCACAGTCACTTTAAACTTAACAACCTTTATAACACACTGTTACGTCTCCGTTCGTTAGTTGATTTTCCGTAACTTCATTCCGACGAAACTTTAGCAACACAAGTCCTTTCTTAATAAAACTGGTTTATTCTTTCCGAATACAACTTTACGATACACTTAATTTCAACAGTCGCGCTATAACAAACGCTATATCTCACGTGGCTAACAATATTTTGTCCGCATACATTCAATTACTCATTAACTCTGTTCTCCCGTCACGTTGTGACCATCTTATATATACAAGATCACCCCCAATCTAGTAAATGCTAGGGCATTCACGAAGGTTCGAGAGAAGGAGTGGCGTGATACTAGTCACGTGAATTCGCTGACGCAACAACACGCTATAAATCACAGTGATTCACACACTTTTCTTACGGTGCCTACTGTTCGCTTGACTCAATTATCTATCTCTTCAATCTATCTGCACATAGCTTCATCGCTGGCTTATATACTAAAAAAGAGGGCGTCTAGCAAACACTGGGACATTCCCCGATAAGTCACGATCCTTCTAGAAACTCCAGCGCTCATGCTCCCAGCGTCGCATGACTTTTGCTGTCGTAACAATATCAATAAATAATTAATAAGAACGTGAAGAGAAAAAGTCTGCAGTCAGATGTCATGACTTTAATTAATTCTATTGTGTCTAAACATACTCAATGCTTCACCATTTTAGGAGCATTTAATACATAACCTGAATAAAATAATGAAATCAAAATAATAATAATCATGTTTCTCATACTTCTCTGTTTTTTCGATTTCGCGCAGACCTATTCGAGGCCTATCTGCGATACCCATCCCTAATTTTGAAGCGACAGCCACTTCCAAATATTGGGCTATTCTTTACCAACGAATAGTAAGATTGACACCTCCACAGCTGAAAAGGCGAGCATGTTTGGTGATTTGGGATTCAATTCCACTACACAACTGATTGCGTGTAGAGCGTCCAAGTCATCAAGTCATTATGTTACTTAACCACCAAAATATAGATTACATCCAATCACGCAAAAAAAGAAAAAGGTTCATTAGATTTAAATGATTAAATGTTGTTCCACTTATAATGAATATATGATTAAATCATTGGATGCTAATCCGATAGAAAAACAATATGCTGATATTACAAGGCGTACTTTTAGTTATACTTATGATTTAATTTGCTAATATAACACTAAAATTGTGTTCTATTTAAGCACTTGCTTAATTTTTTTAATTGGGTGCGGGTTGGCCGTAAAGTAGAGTTCTGCATTACGGAGCAGCCAAGCCACATTTGAATCCGTACGGTACCACAAAATATTCCTAATTTTAAGTTGTTAATGTATTATGAGAGTGGCAGTTTATCCCATGGAGGGTGGATTGTAGAATACTCCTGACTGGCTGTCTTTCCTCTGGACATTAGTTCAAAATACAAAAAAAAAAATAATAATTCGAGCTATTGTTGGTTATTTTCACTGAAATATTAATTCCTGGATATCTTTTAACAACTATCTTAATTAGTAGTAATCATATGTGGTTTCGAAAGACAGATGCATCGCAAACTGAAAACAAAATAAATGATGTTTGCATTGCACTTTACCATATTCAAAAAATATTAATCATTTTAACAATTAATTTTAACTCTAATAAAATAATGATTTTAAAAAGTATAGCGAAATGTTCCCGAAGAAGGCTGTGGGGAAACAGCAGTAAAAAAATCTAGAACAGGGTTTTTCCTCCGGAATTTGTACTAGTTTGTTTAGATTACGTGGTTTAGAATACCTTGCTCAACGTGGTATACCGGAGTAGTAATAGGTGACGTGTTACAAGAGTTGGAAGTTGAATAAGTTCTTTGATAGAGGAAGAATACTGTTCGATAAGGTAAATTTTGGCTATAGTTTTAATTCAATATACTGAATACCTGTACAAAAATAAGTATTTTGCATCAAACTAATATTAGCATTTTTAAGTATTGTACCAGGTTTGCTGTGGCAGAGTTTTGTGGTATTGAACGATAATATCATTTCGAATTTGATTGTTTGAAATTGAAGTTCGACAGTATATAGTACATACAACAGTGCAAGTGGCAACTTTAAGCTTACGTTATTTTGATAATACACAAGATCATTTGTTTGTTCTTATTCGCTTAATGTAAATTAAATTATTTTTCTTCAGATTTATTTGATCTTAACAGGAACAACACTGTACTATTAGTGTTACTACTAGTACTCTCAGTAGCTTACTTGTACTACCAGTAAACATATGGTGCAGGTTTCTTACTTTATATATTTACACAGACATTTGCAGTTAAGTCTTGTATTAATTCGTTATGTATTTGAATTAAGCAAGCAAATGTTAATAATTTTACACATGTTCTTTTGAACTTTAACTTGAGTTTAACTAGCTTATGTATCTCTTATTTTTAGTTAAACTTGTGTGGAATGGATACTTGCCATATTTCTGTTGTATTTAAAAATTTAGCTTCACTTTCTTATAAATAAGAATAAAGTTGAGTAAAACTATAAGAATTGATACATGTTAGACGTATCTTATTGTATTTTTATAACTAGTGAATACTTTAATAGGCCTAATTTTGTTATAATGTTTATCAGTGAATCATAATGCTAGAACTGAGAGTGCTGATATGGATAGGAGATCACAGCAGATGCATAATTTGATATCATCTCGTATGTCAATTTGATTCTCGTATACATAATTGAGAAATAGGACTAAGTAAATAAATTGATAACTACTCATTCACATAGAGATTAGGCTAGAGTAATTAAATTTGTTTTCTAATAATAATATGTTAACATTTAGTTAATGAACATTTGAAAAAACAATATACTTATTATACTGTTTCAAGCTCGTACTGACAACAATTTTCAAGCATTTTGTTGTAATGTAAATTATTTATAAAAATATTCAACGTATTATTAATAAGAGACTGAATTATAATGGAAATTCCTCTAGGAAAATTGATGTATGTAATTTCAGCATAAGAACATATATAATTGAATATTCTGATACATATAACAACCTCCCCTTATATTCTACTGTCCATTTTTCAAAAATTAAACATGGCTACAGATTTAAAATTTTCATAAAGCAAAACGTAACCTTGTTTATTGTAACATAGCACAAAAAAGGAACAATAGACCATGAACTTAGTTATAAATAATGTTTTTGGGATTACCTTTGATGTGACAATAAAGACAATTTTGAAAGGGGTTATGATATACTTGTATAGACTATTGTGTCGTGATCAGTTGTCCTATAACTTTAGTAACTAAATTCTACTATTAAATAAATAAATCTAGTAATTTTAAAATAAGCCCATATGAATTGCAGTAGTGTTAAATTAAAAATCAAAAATAGAGATTAGAGATTAATAAAAAATGAAAAAACAAAATTTTATTCTTATGTAAACCCTTCTCTTTTTTCACATTGACAACCATTTCTAATTTTAAATGTGAAAGTGGAAAAGTTGTTAAAACATTTTGAAAGTATTGGTGAGACATTATTTAGATGATTAGTATTATGTGAAGTTTTGGTTCCTTTATTACTTAAAGGATGACAGCACTGGAAAGAGTACAAAAATGGGTTGCTTGAATGACACTTGTTTAAATTTTGTTTATATATATTTGGAATGAAGAACCTACATTGTTGACATTAATGTACAAAATATATGATTTGCATATTTTTTATAATTTTTTATTTAGGTTTAAGTTATGGACAAAGAGATTTTTTATTTGCATAATGTTTATTATATGCAAAACCAGGATCTTTGTCTTCAGAAAGTATTGCTTGTATCATGAAAAGTGCAATTTAATAAATTTTAGTTTGCATGATTTTCAGACATAATCTTCTAATGTTATGAATTTGAGTTTTAGTTTTCTTAATGCTTCTTTAACTACGAGTTTCCCTGTGGATATTATTTATTTTAACTTCCAGAAAAATCTTGATAAGGAATCCCACACAAAAATTAATTAGCTTCATTTATAAAATTCAATAATGCAAATACTTGAGATGCAATAGGACGCAAATGTATTGGCTAGATACCCAGCAGCTGGAAATGATCTTTCAAATAACATAACATGATTTTTGTGACAACATGAGACCTGTTGGTCTATTTCGGCTATTCCATCCTCTAAACTAAATTAAAATAATTTTTAAAAAAACCTTAAAGCCAGCCCTTATCATTCACATACTTATCATGCTTTCTCTTAAACTCACTTAAATTTACTTCCCCCACAGTATCTCAAGGCAATCCATTCCAAAGGCCAACGCCCCGTTAG